TCATGGGAAAAATAATATAACGGTGAGTTAAGAAGGGCTCATACGGGACAACAGGAGAAGACAGTAGAAGTCAAAGCAATATCACCGAGATGCGACCCACCAGGCTCCAGAAACCACCGACAAGTTGGCGACCAAGCGATAGCCATCAATAACGACCTCGAAGGTCACCGCTAAGGCCGCAAAACGGAGAAGAGTTTGCAGCATTTGGAAGTGATGCTTGACTCTGCAGAGGACAATGCTAACATATTAAGCAACCATTTTACTATCCTGGGAAGAATTTCAATGCCAGGAGGACCCTTTTCGAAGGAGGCTTGATCTTACTTTACTTGCTGGTCATACATTTGGTAGCCATCAACGATTTATATAATGTATAAATGGCTTTGAACGGCATGCATTATCTGACAGCACCTATCTGTTAATAGAGTTTTCAAAGGCTCTGCCTATCTCCCTTATATATACGGAATTATAATCATTATACCTCATACCGGATTAATTTCGCTTTTTTTCAGCGTTATTTGTAGATCCTGAGACAGGCTTTTCACACTATGTCGGTGAAAATGTGGTAGTTCTCATCTTAGTTTCCAGTCGACAGTTTTTTTGCAGAAAAAAACACTGATGCACGTCGCAATATTTACAACGAGACTGAATGGATAAGAGTTGGCCAGTTAGGCATACCCTGACGTCAAAATTATAGTTAAGTCCAGGCACCTGGTTTCCAAAGGCAACTGCTGATGATTCTTGCATCTTTTACCGCGAAACCCAGATACGCCTACGATCGAACTAGCCACTAGGCTCATTATTCCGATGAACAGTTTGTTCGCTTCTACAAGGGCGAAGCCTGAACGAAGGTGGACAATTATCGGTCCGTTAGCCTAAATTGCATTTGTTGTAAGGTGATGGAACCGATAATCAAGAAGGTGACAATGCAGTTCCTGGAGGAGAACAACTTACTGTCTGGGCTCCAACACGGTTTCAGACAGAACCACTCTTGTCTTTCCAGCCTATTGCTCTCGAATGAGCAGTGGGCTCGCGCACTGGATGAAAATGTTAAAGTCGACGTCATCAATGTTGATTTCAAGAAAGCGTTCGACAGCGTGCCACATGAACGTCTTATGTATAAAATTATCCGAAAGTGGTATAAGAAGAAGCCTGGCGGCATGACTCACAGATTTTCTCACAGGGCGATCGCAAGCAGTGTGCATCGGTGACTCGAAGTTAACTCCCACATCTGTTTTAATTGGCGTCCCCCAAGGCTCTGTCTTAGGGCCAATGCTCTTCCTAATCTTTATCAACGACTGTGTCGAAGAGCTGGGTTGCAGCGCAATCATGTTTGCTGACGACGTCAAAGTCTGGAAAGCTATCAGGTCTGACGCCGATAGGCAAGCACTTCAGGGGAGTCTCAATTAACTTAGCAGCTGGTCTGTTCGTTGGCTCTTAAACTTCATTGTCAGTAAGTGTGTAGTTTTAACGTTCCGTACTAGAAGGACCAATGGGAAGGATGATTCCCTTCAATGTGTCCTCAATGAGCAACCCCTTTCAAACGTTGACGAAGAGAAAGACCTCGGTGTTCTAATAAACTCGTCGCTTCAACCATCCTCGAAGTGTCTGAAGGCAGCTAAACGCACTACACAGGTGCTGTTTGTGATTAGGCGGGGATTCGTCCACACCCAATACGAACTCTTCAGAAAAGCGTACAGTGCGTTTGTTCGGTCCCATTTGGAGTATGCCGTCCAGGCCTGGCGTCTGTGGTTCAAGAAGGATTATCTGCAGCTGGAACGAGTGCAGGCGAGGGTTACGAAGAGGTTCAAGAATCTCAGTAATGTGCCTTATGAAGACAGACTAATTGAACTTGATTTAG